AACTGTGTAATGTCTATATTTATTGCTGTAAACTCACAGAGCTGCATCTAATTTCAATAGCCATAGCTAATGTGAGCTCATGCCTGAAAAAGAAACCAAGTCTAATTCCATGTTTCTGAGGAACCCACAGGGATTCCTTCTACCAGCTACCAGAGGCAGCAAATAAGTCTCTGCCACTGAACTTACAGCTGTCTCCAAAAACAGACCTCTTGGAACCGCCTTGCTTTGTGATTGCTGTGTACACAGTCTGAGCCGCTACTGACTGGAATCATTAATAACCAGGTTGCTACATCTAACTGACCAGGTAATAAGTCAGCCTACATTTGCAAACCCCTTGGAAACCATAACTCTAGTGCTGATTTAATTCTATTTTACAAGATTAAAGCAGTTTTCCCAGATGATAAATCCCAACTAGCCTCACCCCGCTGTAAACAAAGGACGGAACGCAGCATACCAACAAATAGGTCTGCAAAGCACATAAACTCGGGAAACCTGAAAAATGCCAAGAACCAAAGTTTCCACCAAGATGCCCCTCTACTCCTCAGAGACGTGACACCAGCAGTCAGCAGCAGAGCCACCCCAGTGCCTTACTGTGAGTCTCACATGCAAATCCCCAGAAGAAGATAACTGCCTGGACATGTCCCAGGGGTCACCATCTGAACAAGCACTGTAGCAATAGGTATTTAAAAGGAGTCTTGGGAGCAGGTAACATTCAGTATGCCAAATTCCCTCCTTGGGGGGGGGGTGGGAACAGTCAGGCTATAGATAATCCCCTGTCTAAGATTGAAAAACTCAACAGGATGAGATAGGTTACAAAAAATAAAGAAAATCCTTCAGATTTGTTTTAGGCAGTGGTACGAGGAGTCAAGCCCATGGCTCTGTGCCCTCTGGACAAGCACTCTGCACTGAGCTACACCCCCAGCCCAAAGTTGGTTCTCCCCTTCCCCACTGTGGTAGTATGAATAGGTGTGGCCCCCATAGCCTCCACAGGGAGTGGCACTGTTAGGAGGTGGGGCCTTACTGGAGGAAGTGTGTCACTGTGGGGGCGGGCCTTGAGGTCTCCTGTGCTCAAGCCAGGCCTAGGGTGACTTTGACTTCTGCTGCCCGTGGATCAAGACATAGAGCTCTCAGCTCCTTCTCCAGCACCGTGTCCGTCTGTGCTGCCTCGATTCTGAACATGATGATTATGGACCAAACTTCTGGAACTGTAAACCAGGTTTTCCTTATAAGAGTTGTCATGGTCATGGTGTGTCTTCACAGCAATAGAGACCCTGACTGTAACACCACTTGCCCCATCTGATATCTGATGTTTGCCCATCCTGATACATTAAATTCACAAGACTCTTTCCATTTCTAGCACAGCCAACACTTGTTTTCCTATCCTCATGAATAATATAAAGAGTGTTCTTGCAGAACTTCAGGGATGGCATTTCAACACTATGGGGGAGGGAGAGCTATCGCACATGGGAATCAAGATTCGCTAGACCCAGTACAGGTTAAAAGGTTTATTCAGAGAGATAACACTTACATATGACGTAGGTGACTGCCCCCGGTTCCAGCTCCAAGGAACCTCCCAGGCTGTTCCATGACCCGGCCAGCCACCAGAAAGAGAGAGCACCCCTCCCAGAGCCAACCTAAGTCCTCCTCTCCTGTATGCACCTGTGACCACGCCCAAATATGTGTGGTCAGCGCCAAAGGTACACATTTAGATCTCTTGCTACAATTCCCCTTTTTGCCTAAAGAGAAGGTTTAGACTTGACACAAAATTATATATAAAGATAGGGAATATCAAGTATGCTCTAGGAGGAGGAGAATAAGAACAAACACACCTAATACCTGTTGCCAGTGAAGCAACTAGAGCAATGGCGAGAACTACCTATCCAGTCATCACTAGAAGGTTATCCAAAGCTGGAGAGTAGAGGGAATGATAACTGTGAATCTAACCTTCAGCCCCGTCAAAGACCCGAAAAGGAAGACAACAATACTAGGACAGGGAGGCAGTGCAGGTGAGCAGCTTCCAAAGGTGCAGGGAAGACAGAAATAGCCTGGACAGTCACCCAAAGCCTCACAGCAGCATAGGGGCAGCCAGCTTTGGCTAAGACCTAGAGTAACTGACTGACCAACCAGAAGCAGGGAGGCAGAAAGGCTGTCTTACCCTGACTTGGCAGGGTTTAGCAGTCTTCTAATTTATCTCCTGCAAGCACAGTAGGACAGCATGTCCAAAGTCAGCAGTCGAGGTGGGGACAGTTCTTTGCCCAAGAGGCCATTAGCTGAGGAGAGACCGAACTCCAGAAGGAGTGACATCGATGTCCAACATTTTCTCGGGAATAGTTTGGTGCTGTCAGGAATAATTTTGTCTTATGTCAACAGAGTACTAATATTAAAACATTTAAATGTCATTTTCTGCAGGTCTATGAAGTATTTGAAGATCAAAATCTATGTCTGACTAATCTCAAAGATATAAGAATGTGAGTGAAAATATCTCTAATTCTCGGGAACCTAGTTGTACAGTGGCTTAAGCTTCCCAAAAAACCCAAGTCCTCCTCTCCTGTACGCACCTGTGACCATGCCCAAAAGACCGTGGTCAGTGCCACAGGTGCATAGTTAGCTCTCTTGCTACAGAGAGCAAACTTCAGGAAGGGAGTGATGGACTCTGCTCACAGCCAAAGTTCTAGTGGGAGCAATGCCCTAACACAGAGCTATCATCGCTACTATATGTGGGCATATCAAGAAGAAAACTGTCTGCAGAATAACTAAGAAGAGGACCCTCCTTAAGAACCAAATCTACCGGAACCTTGATGCAAACTTCCCAGCCTCTAGACTGTGAGGAATGTCTACTGTTCAAGTGCTGTCTACTGCACTTTTTGTTAAGGTGGCCTTAGCTGAGAGAGAGTTACAAGGCAAATTTTACATAGCAACCATTACAGCAAAACCACATGGCAGCTCATTTCTGTGTCCTCTGCACATGGACTTGTCATTACCAACAAGATGTCTTCACAAAAATAAATAAACAGGAACATACCCTGGAACCCACAATGAGAGGAGGGGCAGGGAAGGAGACCCTCAACCTGTGTCACCCACACAGGTACCCTTGGTCCCTTCCCAGCCTGGACTCTGGGATGTGGGGCTGAAGGAGTCAAGGCCTTCGTTCCTATTCTAAAGCAAAGAGACAGCAGATGAGTGACGGACAGGGTAAGGAGGGAGAGGAGACTGGGAACTGTCTTTACCTAAGTGGATGGAAAGTCTTGGAGATGCTTGGCCTGAAATCTGCATGATCTAACGCAGGTCATGCAAAGCTGAAGAGCAGAGCCACAGTGTAAGCCAGTACAGACGGCTGCAGGGCCTGCAGGAGCAGGCTGAGCGGGTAGTCATGGACCAAGGGAACTGGAGAGTGCTCACAGAGAGCAAGGTGTGGAGGTAATTTCTCACGCCAGAAGAAGAAAACCCTTGACTCGGCTTCTACTTGCTCTCATTCAACACAAGAGCATTATTAATATGCAGGGATACTGGACGAGACTAACCTCAGAACACAGTACCAGAGCTGAGGAGATGGCTCAATGGGTAAAACTCTTGCAATGTAAGCATGAGGACCTGAGTTCCAATCCAGTACCCACACTAAGCCTGAGATTCTAGCACTGGAGGGCAGAGATAGGTGGGTTCCAGGGGCTTGATGAGTAGGTTCAAGTTCAGTGAATCTCTTTCCCAGGAAAGCAAGGCAGAGAGTGATAAAAAAAAAAAGGACACCTGAAGTCCAGCTCTGGTCTCTACATGTCTGTGTATGGAACACACATGTACACACACAAGCACATACACAACATACACAGGAGGATGAAAAGTTCATTTCCAGAAAGACGGAGACAGAGAAATCGAGGCTCTGGGCCACTGTATCTGCTATTACCCTTGTACTTCACCTGTAGGGCTCTTCCAAATAAAGCAAGGTTTCCAGTCTCTCATATCTGCAACCGTCACTGTGAACTCCTACAGTTCACAGCCCTAGAAATGTGGTTGTAATCACTCATGAGTTAAGAGAGAGTTCAAGCAGTCATCCAAGTTCTGGGGATCAAGCACATTGTCCCCAGTAGCAGTCACGATACGGACTGAATATCTGTGCCTCCTTTCCAAATGTCCGTGTTGCACTCCGGGCAGCCAAAGCAACTGTACTAAAGTCATTCTATGAGCAAGTGGAAGTGGGCAGCAGCATCACGAGGCCAGGGCCCTAATCAGGGAAGTGCCATTTTTACAAAAAGGGAGGGAGCAGGAGACTCAACTATGTGTGGTCACAGCCAGAAAATGAGCATCTGTGGAGCAGGAAAAGGACCCAAAACTCTGACCTCAGGCCTCATGTCCATAAGGAGTAAGTGTCTGGTGTTTAACCCTGTCATCCAGGATCTTTGCAACGGTATCCTGAGCTGACTCATATGTCCCACCAGGCCTCCAATATCTGGATCCAGGCTTCCTAACTTTGACATAAGGAACCTGTGGCCCACCATCCCTCGTCAACCTGTCCTGCTGTAATGAGTTCCCACTGCCCCAGACTCCTCCACAAACCAGCAGGGTCTGAGGGAGCATTTTATCACAGCTGAAGAGACGGCTGTGGTTACACTTGAAATCTTACATTGCATACATTAAGGATAACCTCCCCATAAACGGCACCAAAGCAGTCAAGTGGGGGGTTTAAGAAACTGTTTAGTTGGGCCTGGCGGTGGTGGCGCATCCCTTTAATCCCAGCACTCGGAAGGCAGAGGCAGGTGGATCTCTGTGAGTTTGAGACCAGCCTTATCTACAAGAGCTAGTTCCAGGAAAGCCTCCAAAGCCACAGAGAAATCCTGTCTAGAAAAAAAAAAAAAAAACTGTTTAGCTGAAAAGCACTTTCATTACTTCCAGACACTGCTAATAAAGTGGCCAGAAGCCCAGGCACCTGGAGCTGATGGCTGGTGAGCAATTGACAAAGTGCAACAGGATGGGATGTGATCTGAAGAGTGACGTTAGGACAGGCTCACCATCACTCAGGTCCTGGAGGAGGTTCTCCTGGCAGGAGAAGTCCAGCTTTGCCTTGATGTTGACGGTGAAAGTAGCCACCTTCCCGGGCTGCAGCGGGAACTGGGACAGTGTTTCTTCTAGCTTCCAGCTCAAGAAGTCCCCAGACAGCTTCTCTGCAGTGAGAACACAGTCAGCGTGAGACTTACTTGTTCACAGGAGAGACAATAGCATAGGAAAAGTTGTTGCAGTGTGGTGGGTTGAAGGGCCGGTGCCTTCCAGAATCTCGAGACCATGCGGCGCTGCAAAGCAACTGTCCACCAAGTGATGAGGCAAAGGGAAGGAAGGGGGAGTGGGTCGTCCTTGGAGACCCCAAGCTCCAGTCCCAGGCAGTGTCACTCCTAATGAGCAGCTGCACCACTCAGTGAATTCTTCCTTTCCTGGTACAAGCTGCTGAGAGTTCAGGTCAATTCCTGCACAGCAAGAACCTTCCAGAGAGCCTCACTCTACATGGGAACAGATAAGAGTGTAATGGGCAAAGATGTTGCCTAGGAAGGGACCTCTGCAAAAAGACCTCAGAGAGCTGGGGGCAGCAGGCTAAGCACAGGGGTGGGCAGGCTCTCCCTGCCTTTACCAGCAACTGTCCTACCTAATGGCCCCGGGTGTGGAGAAAAACTGCCTTGGGTTTGTCACCTTTTTGACACCAACAAGTGCCACAGAGACTGACAATTCCTTCAAGCCAAGGGTCCTATACATAAAATGGGAGACACCCAAAGCACCACAGAGCTGTTCCACAGGTTAAATGAAATAACCTCTGCAACTCACAAGGAAACTGTGGACTGGAACACTGAAGCAAAGTGGCCTGAGGGAGGGAGAGACATGCATGGGAGAGACAGGGCCAAGCTACCTTCTAGAATAGCTACCTTCCCCTCTAGGCCACTCCTGCAAGGTGACCTCCTCTCCTTTCTTCACAATTAGAACTGGACTAAGACCAACAATCAGGGTCCACATTATAGCTGGCTCATGCCTACTACCCAGGGCAGAGCTCACACAGCACACAGGAGTACCCTCCCCACTGTTCCCCAAGATGAGCTCACACAGCACACAGGAGTACCCTTCCTCACTGTTCCCCAAGATGAGCTCACACAGCACACAGGAGTACCTTCCTCACTGTTCCCCAAGATGAGATTCTAGCCAGGCAGCCTACTGTTCATGAGGTCACACACAGTCTCTACTTTGTCCTGGCAGTGGGTCCCAGCTCCTCAACCAGCCTCAGAAAACCTGAAGGAGGCCCGCAGGAGCAGAGAACTTCAGGCCTGCACAGCCCTGATGGCTATTTACTCAGATTGTGACTTCACACTAACCAAATGTGATTGGCACACTACTGCCTTTTACACCTGTCCACAGTCAAATGTTGGTATCTACCCAATGCCACATCCAGGGGTGAGAATCCCTTCACCAACAAGGGGAGAGGAAACCATTAGAATGGGTCCTTCCTGCCACCCGGGAGGCCCTGCATTCTCTCATGTCTGGCTTCCTGACTTTGCTCCTACCCTCCTCCCATGACCCCTCAGTTACAGAGGTGGCAGTGACTTGCTGCTGTCCCTATCCTATCCTTTCTGGAAACCAATTCTCCAGGGTGAATTAACTGTCTGAATAAGGAAACTGAGGCTTATTGAGATAAGGGAACTTATCCATGGTGACAAACAAAGGAAAGACCTAGAATTCTAGGTCAAAACAACTCCAAAGCTACCGCATACTTTCCCTTCCTGCATGGTATTAGGGACCCATAAATCAACTTCCAGGAACTTAGGTGAAGATGAACAGCTAGGCCAAGGTCCAGTGGAATAAAAACAATCAGTGGATTTCACCAGCTACAAGAGCTCAAGGCTGAACTGCACTGTGAGAACAAAACATGCCAATCAGTGTCTCCCTGGCCAGAGGCAGCTCAACCATAGCATCCAGAGGACAAGCAGCAAGCAAAGAAGAACCCATCTAAGCCACCATGGCTATTTCTCCCTGTCCCCTTGAAGATGGATGCCAGCAAGAACAGAGTCAGAAGATAGGAGTTCCCAAAGGGGAGAGTTAGAGACCACCTGGCATTCACTCGTTCTGAACACCTCACACAGTTTCACATGCTCTCACCTAATCTTCCCAGTAAGCTCTGAGATGCTTGCTAGTGCCTATCGGAAACTTAGGTGGACAATGTAAGGGAAGTCATGGGCTATGAGGGCTCTGGCCGGTGACATGTGTTCAGCCAGTATCTGTCGGCCTTCAGTATTCCACTAGGAAGGTCTCCGGGTACCACCTCATGATGTCAGCACCATCTGGGAAAGAAAGATGGCTACAGAAGAAATGATTGGATGGTTGAGAGGGTAAATATCTGGAAAGCCAGGCAGAGACAGCAAAGGCTTCACTGGAAAGACCTGTATGGCCTCAGGAAGCCACGGCTATCAAAGAGAATTTAGGGATAGAGTTAGAAAGTCACAAGTCCCAATAAAGCAGAAAAAGGAACAGGTTTAACAAAAGAAAGTGCATCAAGTCAGGAGAGTCACAGAATCTCACAATGAAAGCCAGAAAGGCTCAGCATAGACCTGCAGGGAAACAATAAGACCACAAAACCCTGGGCCTATGGAATTCCCAGCACGGGACAGAACCTGTGTCCAGAAACTTCCTTTGGCACTCAACACAAGCCCCCCAGCTACCAGGGTATGCAAGACTACCCCTGGGTGCACCCTATCCTTTAGGTGGTAAGTCACACCATCAAGATCAGCACAGGGACTTGGCTCCTCATGGGGACAGATTTCAGAGTTACGGGCAGGAGAGGAACGGGAGAAAGAAAGGACCGTCTGACCTGAGGTCAGACAGTCAGTTGCACACATCCTGCTTCCAACCTCTCAAGGGTACTGAAGATCCTGGGCTTTGGCAAGCAGGGCGCCTGACAGTCTTCCTCCATTGCCTGGGGATGTCCCTGCTCTCTCAGGCAGCTCTCCAGACCCCCTCACCCATGGCTCCACACACACTTGCCCTGCGCTTCCTCAGGACCTCTGCTCAGCTGAGAGTCCTAAGCACCGAACCCTGTCCCCCAAAACTCAAGGCCTCTTTTACCCTACTGCAGGGGCTCCCCTGCCAAACTCACCAAAGACCACTTTCACTGGGCATCAGCTTCCCTTTCTTATTCTGAATGAAGAAGGTTAGCACCTAGTAGGCTGCCTTTGGAAAGGCCAGAGGAGGAGGGAGAGGGATAATAGGATGCTTAGCAGCCAGGAGTCTTAGGAATATGTTCGGTTTGGGAGGACAGCTTTTGTTCTGCACTCAACTCCAGAATGGAAGAAAGGTCTTTCCTCCCAAGCCAGGCACCGTACCCTGATCCTTTCAATGACCCAGGACCCCAGTTTACGGAGAGATGAGAAACTTCCACTCAGAACAGCATATAGGATAGGAGACGCCAAGCTACAGAAAACCAAGCAGCCCTGCTCCATGGACGCCAAGTCTCGAGCCTGAGAGCACAGGAAATAAGGACACGGTGATTTCCTCACACAGCACCTGCTACAGAGGCACTGGCCAGGGCCAGCTAAGACACAAAGGTCCTGCAAAAGCCTCCCATCCCAGAGACCCACCCAGACCACCTCTGGAACACAGGCATACAGCCAGCCCCTTGGCCACATCACCCCTGGACATAGTACGATGTTCTCTGGCCCCAGAAATCACTTGCTCCTTCTACCTACTTTGTGCCTGGTACTCTCCACACACCCTGTTCCACCTGCTTTCTCAAACTGGGAATTCCTGAGCCTCCTTTCCTGTTCTGTTCCCTCCCACATCGTCTCTGAACATTCACACACATTGAGTATCGCCAGCTTCCAGTGGTGCTCCCTTCCACCAAGCAGCCAATGGACAGAGGCAGGGCCAGGCCTTGCCATTGACTCTTGCCACCTGGAGAGGGGACACTATGCTACCTGGAGACACTTGCTCAAACAACAACAACAACAATGCCTAAATTCATGCCCTGGCTGTGGCTGGGTACCTAGGGCAAGTCACCAAATTTCTATATGTCTCAGTTTATGTATCTACAACATAGGCTGTCATACAGAATCAACGTGTTGATAGAAGGTCAAACGCTTGGTCAGACCCTGGCTTCAAGTAAACACTCAGCCAGCATTAGGTAAATCTCCTACTCACTGAACTCCGATCTGCTTTTCCTAATTGTGAAACCCTTGCACCCCTTCCCCAGAGATGTAAAAGAATAAGATGAGCCATGCAGACTGTCGAACACCAGCCTGGCATTCCATAAGTACACATTAGCATTAGCTATCATCTATGCCCCGCCCCCTATTCAATGACTAACAAGACCTGGTACCTAGGAGGCACTCAGCAGGATGGGACATAGGACATACACATGTATGCCAAGACATCACTTTAGAATTATAATTAGTATGTTCTGCAACAGCCCTGTGAAGCCAGCATGCAGATCCCCCTGCAAGGCTGCCCACGGTGAAGACTACAGTGTCCTGATGTGAGCTGAGGAACTGGATGGTGATGTCCCAGGCATATTACCTGTGACAGCTGAATAAATTACGAATGGTAGAATTACAAATGTGGAAGCCAAGCAAGTGGCAGGTAATCAGATTCCTAAACAGAACTTTACCTGGTTAAGGAAAAGCTAGTCCAAGCCTCTCAGAGACGCTTTGCCTCTCCTTCACACGCTCTGCGCTTGCACAGTGCAGCAGGGTGTGGGATTACAAGGTAATGGTTGTCATCACCACCTATGGAGCACTGTCTTGCACACATGAGAACATCACTGTACCCCAGAGAGGTATAAAGCAGGCAATTGAAGCAGCAGCTATCGAGAGGCACAGAGGCACTGGCCAGGGTCAGCTAAGACACAGAGCCCAGGGAGCTGAGCATGTAACTTAGTCGGTAGAGTGCTTGCCTGGTATGAACGAGTTTCCTGATTCAACTTCCAACATCATATAAACCAGGTATGTTGGGGAATTGCCTGTAATCCCAGCACTAGCTCAAAAGAGACATCAGAAGCAGAAACAAGTCCAAGATCATCCTCAACTACAAAGCAACTGCAAGGCCAGCCTGGACTACATGATACCCTGCCTCAAACAGAAAGAAAGAAAGAAAGAAAGAAAGAAAGTAAGGAAAGAAAGAAAGAAAGAAAGAAAGAAAG